ACGTCTGGTCACATCTATTAACCCTAGAGTTGATAAACCTGAGTGTGTTAAAGTACCCGAGGAGGAACCCATGCAATTAGGGGTTGCCAAACTCTCGGATACTGAAAAACTACTTAGAAGAAGGAATGGACTCTGCCTATACTGTGGTAGGCGAGACCATATGGTAAGGGAATGTCCTTTGCGTCGGGAAAACTCTCGCACCTAAGACCTTATAGGGGACTGGCCTTGGGTGTGATCTCTAAGTCTCCTAAATTGCCTCCTAATCGTTTGCTTCTCCCTGTTTCCCTTCATATGGGGGTGAGTTGTATAGCAGAATGCATATTAGCCTTGGTTGATTCTGGGGCTGCTGAGAACTTTATTGACTCTGAGTTTGTTACTAAAAATAACATTCCCGTCAGAGAAAGGGAGATACCCTTGGCCATTGAGGCCATAGATGGTAGACCATTAAGTTCTCCAATTGTTACTCATGAAACTGTACCATTACACATGTATACAGGGGTTTTACACTTTGAAACCATTCAATTCCAGGTTATCACATCTCCCTCTTCTCACATTGTGTTAGGGTACCCATGGTTTCGTACTCACAATCCCATTTTCGATTGGGAGTCAGGGCAAATAAAATCATGGAGCGATGCCTGCCATGAGTCCTGTACTATTGAAGTCACCCCTTTGAATTCTATTAATGTCCCTACAACTCCTCCTTTGTCCACTGTTATACCCTCTCAGTACTTATTTCTCAAAACTGTCTTCGATAAAAGGGAGGCTGACAAATTACCACCTCACAGACCCTATGATTGTGCTATCGATTTATTGCCTGGCACAATACCTCCAAAGGGCAGGGTGTACCCTTTATCTGTTCAAGAAAACCGTGTCATGGAGGAGTATATTAAGGAACCATTAGAAAAGGGGTTTATTAGGAGATCCTCTTCTCCGGCTGGAGCGGGGTTCTTCTTTGTATCAAAGAAAGAAGGTGATTTAAGACCGTGTATCGATTATAGAGGTCTAAATAAAATCACCATCAAAAATGCATATCCTATACCTTTGATCACAGAATTATTTGACAGACTCAAACATGCTACTGTATTCACTAAATTGGATCTTAGAGGTGCATACAATTTAATACGTATTAAGAAAGACCACGAATGGAAAACGGCATTCAACACTAGATCTGGCCATTACGAGTATACTGTTATGCCATTTGGTCTATGCAATGCCCCAGCAGTATTTCAAGAATTTATCAATGACGTTTTAAGAGACTTTATTCACACATTTGTAATTGTGTACTTAGACGACATATTAATATACTCTACAGATTTACACACTCATCACAGGCATGTTACGACAGTTCTGAAGACCCTTCTTGCTAATGGTCTTTATTGTAAACTGGAAAAATGTCTATTTGACCAATCCGAAGTCCAGTTTTGGGGGTATTTAATTTCCGCTAAAGGTTTTCGTATGGATCCCCAGAAGCTTTCTGCTGTCATGGAATGGCCTCTTCCACAAGGTTTGAAAGCCATTCAGCGTTTTCTTGGTTTCTCTAATTATTATAGACGCTTTATTAAAGGTTTTTCCTCTATTGTAGCGCCTATCACCCGTATGACAAGAAAGGGAGGCAATACTCGTGTCTGGTCTCCCGAGGCACTTCAGGCTTTTGAGTTTCTTAAAACCACATTCGCTTCTGCACCTATTTTACAGCACCCTATCCCCACACTGCCCTATATTCTTGAAGTTGATGCTTCTGATATCGGGGTAGGTGCTGTCTTATCCCAAAGAGAGTCGCCTGAAAAACCATTGCATCCTTGTGGCTTCTTCTCCAAACAAATGTCCAAAGCAGAAAAGAATTATGATGTGGGTAATCGCGAACTCCTTGCTATTATTTTAGCACTGAAAGAATGGAGACATTTGTTAGAAGGAACTAAAGATCCTATTCTCATATTTACGGATCATAAGAACTTATCCTACCTTAGTGAGGCTAAAAGACTGTCTTCTAGGCAGGCTAGGTGGTCACTATTTTTGTCCCATTTCAATTACATTATCACCTATAGGCCAGGTGACCGCAACACTAAAGCAGACGCTCTGTCCAGACAGTTCGAAACTGCTGACAAACAGGAGATTGATGTTACTCCTGTGATTTCCCCAGAAAGGATAATCGCTACCACTGTTTTGTCTATTTCTTCGTCCCTCTTGCAGGCCATACAAGCGAAACAAAGCATGGCACCTAGCGAGAGACCTACTGATAAACTATTCGTTGATGTTCCCGAGAGACGGGGGATTCTGTCGTTGTATCATGACACTAAGACTGCTGGACATCCTGGTATTTCCAAAACGGTGTCAGCAGTTTCTCGGTATTTTTGGTGGGATTCCTTACGCAAGGATGTCACTGACTATATAGGTGCTTGTACTACTTGTGCCTGTATGAAATCTTCTCGTAGGGCTCCTTGTGGGCTGTTGCATCCGCTACCTATTCCCGAGAGACCTTGGTCTAACCTGTCCATGGATTTTATTGTTGAATTACCTCCCTCGAATGGTAACACAGTTATCCTAATGATAGTGGATCGGTTTTCCAAGATGGCTCACTTTGTGTCTCTTCACAAGCTGCCCACGTCCAGGGAACTAGCACTTGTTTTCGCCAGAGAGGTGTTTCGATTACACGGCATTCCCGTATCTATTGTATCTGATAGGGGTAGCCAATTTATTTCCAGGTTCTGAAAAGTCTTTTGTTCGGAAATGGGTATTTCTCTCTCATTTTCTTCCGCTTACCACCCCCAGTCTAATGGAGCTGCCGAACGTGCCAATCAATCTCTGGAGCAGTACCTTCGTTGTTTCGTATCCCACCATCAGAACAATTGGTCTGACCTTCTTCCTTGGGCTGAGTTTGCTCTGAATAACGCTACTCATGATTCTTCCGGCAAGAGTCCTTTTTACGTTGTATATGGCCAACATCCTGTTGTTCTTCCGGCTGCTTTCTCCTCACAGGGCATGCCAGTTCTGGATGAATATTTGGCTAATTTGCGTAATACTTGGGAGCAGGTTCAGCGTTCTTTGGTGGATTCCGCTGCTCGCCAGAAGGTGCAGGCTGACAAGCATCGCAGGGCGGCTCCTTCTTATGTTGTGGGGGACAGGGTTCTGCTTTCTACGCGAAACATTCGCCTCCGGGTGCCTTCTATGAAGTTGGCTCCCCGCTTTATTGGTCCTTATCATATTCTGCATAAGGTTAATCCTGTTTCGTATGCCTTGGGTCTCCCTAAGAATCTGCGTATTCCTAATGTCTTTCACACCTCGTTGTTAAAGCCTTTCATACGCAACCGCTACACCCGACATGCACCTCCTCCCCCTCCTGTTTCTGTGGAGGGTCATGAGGAATTTGAAGTTTCTGCAGTTCTTGACTCTCGTTTCCTTAGGGGCCGACTTCAGTACCTAGTGCATTGGAAGGGCTATGGGCCTGAGGAGTATAGTTGGATTTCCGCTGACGCGGTTCACGCTCCTCGTCTTGTGCGCTCTTTCCATTCTCGTTTTCCTGCCAGGCCTGGCCCTCCCCGCCCGGAGGGCGTGTCCTCAGGGGGGGGTAATGTAGCGGTACTTACCCTTTCCAGGGGCCGGCCAGGGTCCTCTGTTCGAGCCGCGCGCGGTCCTGCTGCTGCACGAGCCGCGCGCGGCTCATCCGACGGCTGTGACTGGAAAGCGGTCACGTGTTCCACCTAACTCTAAGAGCGCGCCGCGGGTATCGGGTGCGCTCTTAAAGGGACAGTGGGTGCCTAAATTGGAAAAGGCATCCCATTGGTCCTTGTCATGCCACACTCCCCATACACTTACCTTTTGGGGGCGTGGATGTGACAGGGACCAATCAAATTAGATGTTTAGGTATTTATACTCACCTTCTTCCCTTTGTTCCTTGCCCTATCGTGGTTTCTGTATCAGTTCCCTTTAGCGCTTGTTGTGTTCAGTTGTGTTTCCCCGTATTGACCTTGGCTTTGTTTCTGACTACGTTTTCTCTTTATCCTTATCTGTTCTGGTTGTCGGCTTGTTGTTTACTGTGTACCAGACCCCGGCTTGTCTCTGTGTGCCCTTGATTTCGGATTGTTCCTGACTCTGTCTCCTCTCATATACGTCGAGTCCGGCCATTCTAAGGTCCGGTAGACGTAGCTCTCCTCTGTGTTGTCTTTTGTTTAGCTGAATCCTGCGTGTTGGGGTATATTCTCGTTACAGAGATATTTCTTGGCCCAGTCTTGACGTTTCAGCTTGTGTGTCTTGTTCAGTGGTGGTCGTCTTTCAGCCTTTCTTACCTTGGCCATGTCTCTGAGTATTGCACACCTTGTGCTTTTGGGCACTCCAGTGATGTTGCAGCTCTGAAATATGGCCAAACTGGTGGCAAGTGGCATCGTGGCAGCTGCACGCATGACTTTTCTCAGTTCATGGGCAGTTATTTTGCGCCTTGGTTTTTCCACACGCTTCTTGCCACCCTGTTGACTATTTTGAATGAAACGCTTGATTGTTCGATGATCACGTTTCAGAAGCTTTGCAATTTTAAGAGTGTTGCATCCCTCTGCAAGATATCTCACTATTTTTGACTTTTCTGAGCCTGTCAAGTCCTTCTTTTGACCCATTTTGCCAAAGGAAAGGAAGTTGCCTAATAATTATGCACACCTGATATAGGGTGTTGATGTCATTAGACCACCCCCCTTCTCATTACAGAGATGCACATCACCTAATATGCTTAATTGGTAGTAGGCTTTCGAGCCTATACAGCTTGGAGTAAGACAACATGCATAAAGAGGATGATGTGGTCAAAATACTCATTTGCCTAATAATTCTGCACTCCCTGTATAAATGTATATATCGTGTTTACTCAAATATGACAAGTTATTTTTCAGAGGAAATGCTATGAAAGTTACCTCACCTTATATTCAATTTCACCTTATGATCAGACTTTTTAAGAGAGATCTGCTAATAAGCCTGGGATCCAGATGCCCTGCATTGTGTAGAGGAATTGGATCTCTTTGGTGACAATGGATGTCAGATATTGCAAAGTTGTTTTTTTTTTTATTTCGATTAATATATTTATTTGAACATACATATGAGACTTAATTTAAATTTTTTTTTATAAAATGTCATCATTATACATTGACAAATTTAAAAAGATAGCTAGTACTAGGTACACACTCTCACAGAAACCTCCAATGTCTTGACCTAGAGCATTTCTCCACTAATCTCCAAACTCTCCTTTTACCTATCTCAAACCTCACCTGTCCTAGCTATGCAACCTCCTTCTACAATTCCACCCTCTCCTCTCAACTAGACATCATGGCACCTTGTACATTTAAACGCCGCAGGCCCCCCCCCCAACAACAACCCTGGCACACCAAGCTCACTCGATACCTCCAAAAATGCTCCAGAACTGCTGAACGCTGTTGGAGAAAGTCTCACTGTGCATCTGACTTTCTCCACTATAAATTTATGCTGAGCTCATACAACTTGGCTCTTTCCTCTGCAAAAGTTAATTACTTCAATACCCTCATAACCACACTCTCCCGCGAACTCAAACGACTATTTCACACATTTAACTCTCTTCTTCGCCCTGCTGTTCCTCCTCCACCTACTAACTTGACCGCCTCAGACTTTGCAACTCACTTCACTGACAAGATCTCTACAATCAGAGAAGAGATCTCTCATCTTTCTTCTTCCCCTTATAATACTTCCCCTAACTTCACTCCCTCTGCTGTTCTATGTTCATTCGCACCCGCTACATTGGAAGAGGTTTCTGCTCTGCTCCAGTCCTCCCGCCCCACCACCTGCTCCCTAGATCCAATTCCCTCGCATCTCATCCGTACTCTGTCTTCTCTTTCTCCACCTCTCACTAAAATTCTCAATCTCTCTCTCTCCTCTGGTATATTTCCATTGCCCTTCAAACATGCAACTGTAACCCCAATTCTAAAGAAGTCCAATCTTGACCCTAACTCCCCATCCAACTATTGTCCTATCTCGCTACTGCCTTTTGAATCCAAGATCCTTGAAATAATTGTGTATGCGAGATTGACAGACTTCCTCGAGTCCACCTCTCTGCTAGACCCACTTCAGTCTGGTTTCCGCGCTAAGCACTCTGTGGAAACGGCACTGACCAAAGTATCCAATGATCTACTCACTGCAAAATCTCATGGTCACTACTCTATCCTAATTCTCCTTGACCTGTCTGCGGCTTTTGACACTGTTGATCATCAACAGCTTCTTCTCATCCTTCGCAATATCGGTCTGCAAGATATTGCTCCCTCCTGGTGCTCCTCCTACCACTCCCAGCGCTCTTTCAGTGTTTCTTTCTCTGGCTCTGCTTCTTCTCCCCAACTCCTCTCTGTTGGTGTCCCCCACGGTTCAGTCCTTGGTCTCCTACTGTTCTCCATCTATACTGCCTCCCTTGGTAAACCTATTAGCTCCTTTGGCTTCCAATATCATTTCTATGCAGATGACGCGCAAATCTACCTGTCCTCTCCTGATTTCTCCCCGTCCCTCTTGACTAGTGTCTCTGACTGCCTCTCTGCTGTTTCTAACTGGATGGCTGCCCACTTCCTTAAACTAAACTTGACCAAAACTGAAATTCTGGTCTTTCCTCCCTCAAGTGTTGTTACTCCTGTGTCTGTCTCCCACCAAGTCAACGGTGCTACCATCAGCACCACCACGCAGGCTCGCTGCCTACGTGTTCTCTTTGACTCCGACCTCTCCTTCAAGCCTCATGTTCACCATCAAACATGACCTTAATTTACTATAAACAACCATCCACAACCTGACTACCAACCCACACCATGTTGCCAGTCCATAAAGAATGCGGCGGCAAGGCTCATCTTCCTGTCCGCCCGCACCTCCCATGCCTCACCCTTCTGTCAATCCCTACATTGGGTCCTATAAAATATAGAGCTCAATTTAAAATTCTGGTTCTTGCTTTCAAATCTCTACATAATGCTGCTCCCACCTATCTATCCTCCCTTATACACAAGTATGTCCCGTCTAGGCCCTTACGATCTGCTGAAGACGTATGTCTATCTTCTGTCCGTACTCCCACCTCTGATGCTCGCCTTCAAGATTTCTCGAGGGCTGCACCGTTCCTGTGGAACTCGCTTCCCTCCTCCGTTAGATGCTCACCCAGTCTCCACTCCTTCAAAAAAGCTTTAAAAACCCACTTCTTCATAAAAGTGTATCAATTAAACTGTTAATAGCTCTTGACTGATTCCTCTTCTGCAACTGTCATTAGTCTAATACTATCCTTACCTTTTTGTGTCATTTTACCCCACTCCCTCTAGCATGTAAGCTCATTGAGCAGGGCCCTCAACCCCTCTGTTCCTGTGTGTCCAACTTGTCCGTCCACCCATTGTAAAGCGCTGCGGAATTTGACGGCGCTCTATAAATATCATAATAATAATAAATATTATGTTACCGTCATTGGCACACAGGAAAGAAATGTAAAATTGCACGTAGGTAGTCACCTGTGTTAATATAATATCACTTTATTTGATGCTTGTAGTAAAAGGTACAGTTATTCAATTGTAAGATGTAGGCTATAACAATATTGATTATAAAGGCCAGGAAGCAAAGAGCCCTGAAATGGAAGGCGGGTGACACACAGAGATACCCCCAGGATGGCCCACAAGTGGGGTCGGTTGAACAAAGCTGAGAGCAACAACCCGCTATGTGAACAGGGCACAGAGACATTCCGTGCAAAGCCAAGTCAGGCTGCCTGAAACAACTCCCAACGAGATATGTATCTGTAGTTAGATCATCAATATGAGACTATAATTAATATGTGACTGTGGTTAATGTTTACCTATAGTTAACGTAACACTTCTCCTATTTTTGCATGAGTCTAAGGCTAATTGAGAGATGTAATGTTTTAAGTCTGCAGCTGCTGCACTTGTCACAATAGTAAGCTAGACCCAAAAGTCAGACCTATGCGACAGGTTTAGGCACTCCACACCGCAGACAAGTTGTTCCCTACCTAACGCATAGACACATACACTTATCTTGAAAGGTACTCTCCATTATCTAGACGTGCTGCTACCCCTAAACGAAAAAGCGATATAAAATCAACCATTGACCCACAACTCGGGGAGTACCTTATGCTGCATGTCTATCCCGCGCATGTCTATGAGCCTGTGTGTGACATAACTAGACAGTATAAGTATAAACATAAGTATACCCTCTTACATACAGGTGAGAATGGAAGCCTGCGATAAGCCTGTTTGCATCAACCAATACCAGAAATGTAAAGCATGTTCAAAATATGACAACCTTCAATTTAAATATAAAATTGTGCACTGTTACCATATGCCCCACTGTTATAACTGTTCAGGAATAAGCAAGCAGAATGCCGTTGGGGTACCACATGCATGTTTGTAACACCCATATGCACTGCAAAAATTTAAAATAAAATAAAGGCCAGGAAGATGTTGATGCTGAAGAACACTCATCCCATAAAGATCATTATATGTCATATAATGTAGAAAAATATTAATTAATGCATATAAGACAAGCCTGTAGTAAACATGGTTGAATTTGATATTTACATTTTTAAAACTATTTTTCAGATATGTGCAAAGGAATTCACAAAGTTCTGAACTGTACTGGCGATATAAAGTTGTTCCTGCATTTTTGGATGATATCACCAATGTCAACTACACAGTAGGACTGTTGAAAGGAAAAAGCAAATCACAAAAATCTCAAGAATATACCGTTAATTGTTCTGGAAATGTACCAATAATCACATGTGAGGATTGGCAAAAACATTCCTTACCTTGTAAGCACATGTGCTGCATTTTTAAATTTGTGGATGGATAGGAATGTGAAGAGCTCTATTTATCATATTCAAGTAATCCCCTGTTCTCTTTCGATTTAGAATGTTTTTTTATTTTTTTATTATTGCATTTTGAGCACAAGCTAGGAACAGAAATTCCAGATTTTAATAGCCCTACCTTATTCCACCTTGAAAATTTTACTCCACTTCCACCATGCAGGAGAGCAAAGCGTTACATTACTGCGTAGCTGTACACAGAATTTAAAGCGTCTCTTGGATTCTGTGCATTAAGTCAAGGATGAAGATTATCTTGGGGAATTGGATTCCTCAATCAAAGATCTGCTCCAAGGCGCAAAACTTAAAATACCTGTAGACCATGGACTCCATCTGCTTGAGTCTCTCCAGAAATCCAAACTTTAGAAAAATCTGAAGCCTTTACCAAGAGCATATGGAAAGCCTAAAACGCTAGGATCACAACGATTTGGGTCCAAAGCGGACATGCAAAAACAAGATGTTTGGGAAAGTAGTGAAGATCCTTCTGCAAGAGTGGTTGACTTAAATCCATCAGATAAATGGGTGACTATAAATAATATTTCGCTCACTTACAGTGACAAATGGGATATTGAGAAAAATAACTGGTTGGGTGACAACATTATAAATGTATATTGACACATTACTCCAAGCACCTGAATGTGAGCAAACCCTGCAAATTCATCATGTGTCCAATCATTGGGTTGTATCTCACAGACATAGTACTACTGTTATAGTGTATGACTCCTCTAATGCAACATACACTAAAAGAACTACTGGTAAAATTGGACAGGCCTTTATTGAGTGGAGCTGATATGGTCTTAAAACTGGACCATATTTGCCATCAAAAGCAAGAGGGAGGCAGTGACTGTGGAGTATTTGCGATTGCTAATGCTGTAGCCCTTGCAAGTAGATTTGATTTAAACATGCTGAATCTACAGCAAAGTAAAATGAGGACCCACTTAGTTAATAGTCTTGCTGAAAAGACGATAATGTTTCCACACAAGATATTGAATGCACCAGAAAAAATTGTTGCTTTTTTTTAAGCGAGTTGAACTTACAGTTCATTGTAAGCGTCATATTTACAGGTCAAAAACTCCCATGGTGGAATGTTTTGCGTTCAAGCTGTGGTTTCACTTCAGTTGTGTTGGGTTAAAAAAAGATGACAAATGTTTGCAATCAAAGAAAAGGTTTTATTGCCCCTCTTGCAAATAAAACCCCAAAAGGTGAAAGAAATTAAAAAAAAAAGTTGTAGTTTGCAAAGTGTTAATGTTTTAAAAACCTTATTATATAACATATGCCAAACCTGTGATTAAAAGCGAACTTCAAAATGTGCGTATGGGAATAGAATATAAGAAAGCAATAACTGTACATGTTTCAGAATGTTAAATGTATTTAAGTTCACTTTTAACCCCTTAAAACTGGAGGGCGTACTATTACGCCCTATTCTAAGCGTCTCTAAACGCCGCAGGGCGTAATAATACGCCCTCTAGTTTCTGTTACTTACCGATCGCTGGCGATCCCACGCCGGTGATTGCGGTTGGGGAGACTCACCTGGGATCCCAGGGAGTCCCCCGCGGCGGATCCTGCCTCCTCCGGCCCCCCCGGCCATGTGAGAGTGAGGTCCTTGCGAGGACCTCACAATCACATGGCCGGGTTAGCTGGCTGCTGCATTGCCAGCAGGGAGACTGCCTGTAATGACAGTTAGTCCCCCTGCTGGCTGGAAATCAAATAAAATGTTAAAATCAGTGTAAAAATATACACACACATACACTGTCTAGGTGTATTTTACTATTAATAAATACATATAATTATATATATATTAATATCAATTACACGTAGACTGATACTGATTAAATATATATATATATAATTATTGTTATATATATATTTATATATAATATAAAAAAAATGTAAATACGTTAAAAAATAAAATTTAAAAAAAAATAAAAAAAATAAAAAAATATATAGATGCGTGTTATTTTGTTCTAACTGTATTGTGATATTAATATATATATATATATATATATATAATCAAAATACACGTAGAACGAAATAATATATAAGATATATAGGCATTTTTTGCATTTTTCACACACAAACAAATATTAACGCTAACTTTGGCCAGTGTTTGTGACCAAATGGCTACTAAAAAAGACTGAACATACAAATTTCATTCCTGGGCTACTAAACGGTCTCAAAGGCAACGTAACCAATCTGGCGAATTTCAATTTATATTTGACCCTGTAACTTCCCAAAATACCATAAAACCTGTACATAGGGGGTACTGTTTTACACGTGAGACTTTGCTGAATACAAATATGTGTATTTTATTGCAGTAAAAGCAAACAGTATTATGACATTGACAGTTAAAAAATGTCATGTAGAACTAAAAAAAATTTAAAAATTCTTATTTTCTCCCATTTTTTTCATATTAAATTATGTTTCATAGCTAAATATTTGATATTAAATGAAAGTCCTGTTTCCCCTGAATAAAATGATATATAATAAGGGTGGGTGCATTTACTACGAAAGAGGTGTATCACGGTTGGACAGACATGTAGCGCAAATGCCAGGTTTTGTTTACATTTTTTTTTGTTCACAACGTGTACATTTGGCTCCGTCCTTAAGGGGTTAAGAGAAAATGCAGTGTTTACATTACAGCCTAGTGATAATGTCACTGGCCACTCCTTAGATAGCTGTTAGAGATCCTTCCTGGGTCATGGCTGCCTAAAATGCATCCAAACATTCAGTATTTCCTCCCTCTGCATGCATACACTGAACTTTCCTCATAGAGATTCATTGATTCAATTCATCTCTATGAGAAGATGCTGATTGGATTGGCCAGGGCTGTGTTTGAATCATGCTGGCTCTGCCCCTGATCTGCCTTCTTGTCACTCTCCGCCAATCCTATGGGGAAGCATTGTGATTGGATGAGGCTTCTACTTCTGATGATGTCAGCAGACTGCTTGTTTTTTTCTGAGTCTAACAGCATGCAGATTTACAGCTTCAGGCTTGAATACAGTAAGATTTTGCTATATTTATGGAGGCATGAGGGGCCCAGAGAGGCTAGATGGTGGTGTTAACACTATAGGGTCAGAAATACATGTTTGTGTTCCTGACCCTATAGTGATCCTTTAAGGCAGTGTTTGCATGAAAATGCCTGAAGGCAATGATTATACTCACCAGAACAACTACATTAAGCTGTAGTTGTTCTGGTGACTATAGTGTCCCTTTTAGTTCACATACTAGGAGGTGTGGTTTGTGAAATATGAGCACGGGAAGAAGATATTGCCTGCGGAGTATTGTACAAGCAATGTTGAATATCCCCAAAAATTCTCTTTTTTTTTTCCAGATATTTACAGACCATACAGTTTAGTGGCAGAACTAATATAGAGAGGGCCCTGGTACAAGACATTTTTGGGGGTTTCTCTAGCTCAAGGATGGCTAAAACATGGATCCTTAACTATTGTGCAACTCCCAAAATGCTTTGCCAGCTAAATCTACCATTTATTGCATGGTTTTATTTGTGATCATCATATGTGTTTTTGAATCTAGTAGTGTATTTGTATGTGCTGTTGTCATTTGAATGTAGTGGTGTGTCTGTATGTAGTGTTTGCATTTGTGTGTAGTGTTGGCATTTTAATATAGGCGTGCATTTGTACGTAGTGTTGGCATCTGAATGCAGGGGTTGTTGTGTGGGTGTTTGAATGCTGGATGTATGGACATATAAATATACACTGCCACACAGATACACAAATATAAGGACATAAATACAGATACACACAGTGACCCATAGAGTACAACCTTCATTACAGGAATATGCACATGCAACTTATTCCTCTTCATTTGCTGCTTCCTCCTGCATAAACAGGTCCCATGTTCTGCATATTGCCAGGGCTCCCTCCTACACGCTTTCCATAAAGCTCTAGGAGGAAGTGACAGGATGGGCTATCACTTCGTCCTAGCGCTGCCACGGAAGAGTGTGGGCGGAGGGGAACCTAGTGAACCTAGCAGGGCCACTTTGAGGGACAGCTGATGGGCCCTTCTGCTGCTCGCCATGCCACTCTCTCTAAAGAAGATAGCACTGCCGATGTGAAAGGGGCCCGGTCACAGTCTTGGAGGGCCTCGTGCCTGACTGGGTCCCTGTTCAGCAATAATACCCAGCAGGTGACCCTAAATGCATGAACCCCCTCCGGCGTGCAGGCGGTGTTCTGTCACCGATACAGTTTTAGTGAAAGGGCATTCTGAGTCCAGGACAGATGAAAGAATATCGGAGTCATTTGGAGACATTCGTACTCAGGAGCTAAACCACAATCATATGTATATTATGAAATGGCTTATTAGGAAATAAACTGATCAATAATGTTTCTGTGATTCTTACCTTTAATCAGTGGAAACCAGATGTGAGATTTATCTATATATGGCCCCTTCCACTTTGCAAAGTGAGATAAAATAACCAGTTTTATTTATTTTTTAACAATCTTCAGGATGGTTTTGTCTGACACATCCGTATCATTGTGTATAAGAATGACAAAAAAACAAAAACACCACAAATCACTACAGCCAACTGACAAGTCACCACAGTCCTTGCAAATTAATGGATAATATGGCTTACTCCAGCCTATAAACTGTGAACCATTGCAAAAGGAGAACATATAAAATCTGTAAAGCATTTGGTTGACTAGGAAAAAGTTAAAACGTGGGTAGTAGGTGGTGCCATTTGCTGCCACAACAGGGATACAAGCAAACATTCTACAGAAGGTCTACAGAGAGCCGGGAGTTTCTGCAGCTCGGATGAAGATTGGTTGTGAGTAAATAGTTAGAAAGACCTACCTGTGCTGTTTCCTAACTTTCATATTGCTCTGCTGCTCTTAACGCAATTAATCTCCTCCCCAACTCGCATAAACATAAAAAGCCATAACCATACCCTGCTAGATTGGATTCTCTCCACTTCTCCTGATAGAATCCAGGAGGCTGGTGTTCTCCCAAACACGTTCAGTGATCACTGTTTAGTGTACTGCGTGCGCAAAATAAAGGCTATTAAATCCTCTCCCAAGGTTAAAATAACTAGGTCCTTCAAAAGATTTAATCTTGAATCCTTTTTAAATGACATCAAGAATCTCCCATGGCACAGATTAAACATTATCCCAGATCTAGGCTGTGCTGTTGAATACTTTCAGTCTGAACTCCTACAAATTTGGAATTTGCATGCCCCGCTGCGTAAGGTGAGGGTAAAAGGAGCGCATATGAACTGGATCACAGCTGACCTCATCCAAATGTACCAGTTTCGGGATTCTTTGTGGTCAAAATTTAAGCGTACTGGCTCTATGAATGATCACGGTGCATATAGACAATGGCGAAATATATGCACAAAACAGACAAAACTGGCCAAGGCCCAATATTTCTATGAAAATCTGAACAGTAACATCTCAAACCCTAGAAACTTTTGGAAAGTCATAAATAAACTACAAACTCCCCCAATCCACTCCCAACCCTCCACTGTCAAAGTGGGTAACCAAACCCTGCAACTTCCCTTAGATGTAGCAAATACCTTTAACAATTATTTTGTCGGTTGCTCTACTGCCCTGATTGCCAAGCTAATAAATGACGCGCATCCTGAAACTACAAATGTGGATCAGGCCCCACTAAATTTGCAAAGGCCCAATATAGATAAGTTTAATTTTAGACCTGTACCTGTTAGTGTCATTAAAAAACATCTTAATAATCTAAAAATGAAAAACCAGTCCGGACCTGATCAAATCCCAGCAATGCTGTTGAAGCTCAGTGCGCCGACAATTGCTAAACCCGTCTCAACTCTAATTAACGAATCATTGGTGTCTGGATACATACCCAAACTTTGGAAGACTGCGAGAGTAGTGCCTATCCATAAAAGTGGTGACACTACTTTGGTTTCTAACTATTGCCCAATATCATTGCTCCCTGTATTGTCAAAAATCTTAGAAAAATGTGTCCATACGCAACTTTGTGAGTACTACCAACAATTAAACTATCTGACCCCTGATCAATCGGGCTTTCGCCAGAATCACTCCACTACAACTGCCCTCCTAAAAGTTTGCAATGACATTCAAACTGGCATGGAACAAGGAGCCCTAACTGGAGCTATTTTCCTTGATTTTGCTAAGGCCTTTGACACAGTAGACCACGACATTCTACTGCACAAACTCGAAAACTCAGGTATTGGTGATCATTCTTTAAACTGGTTTCGATCGTATGTATCGGATCGCTCGCAATATGTGTCCATTTCTGACAGTGACTCCCTCCCTCTCCCGGTCACATGTGGTGTTCCCCAGGGTTCCATTCTCGGCCCCCTACTATTTACATTATTTATAAATGATCTGCATAATGTCTGCCAATCCTCAAATGTACACATGTACGCAGATGACACGGTAATCTATGCGAGCAAATCCAATCTACCTCAACTTGAGGTTTTGCTCCAAGACCAGTTTACAGAGGTAGAAAAGTGGATCGCAAAAAACAAACTCTTCCTGAACACTGACAAAACTGTCACAATGATCTTTGGAACGGTACCTAAATTGCACAAATTACACAATCCCCACCTATCCATCAAAACAAATTCAAATGGCACACTGACCGCGGTCCACTCTTTCAAATACTTGGGTATGATATTAGACCCCAATCTATCTTTTAGCCTGCACATAGAAAAGCTTGCATCTAAACTTTATCCAAAATTAGGTGCCCTGTACAGAAACAAAGCCTGCCTAAGCCCTACAGTAAAGGAAAAGATTGTACAGCAAATGCTGATGCCAATCTTTGATTATGGGGATGTAGTATATGCGTCTGCATCGCAATCCCACATTAATAAACTCAACACATTGTATAACTCGTTCTGCAGATTTGTGCTACAATGTAATTACAGGACCCATCATTGTGACATGCTAAAGGAACTAAACTGGCTGTCGCTGGAATCCAGACGCACCCTTGATCTTTCCAGCCTTGTTTTTAAGAGCTTTTCTGGGAAACTCACACCCTACCTGAACAAAATGCTTTCCCCAGCTGTTCCCACTTTCTATAACCTCCGATCCAGTACAAGCACTTTACTTAGTCTACCTCAATACAAAAAGAAAGCGGCCCGATCCTCCTTCTCCTACAGAGCACCGCAATTGTGGAACGACCTCCCGCACAATTTAAAATCTTCCCTAAGCCTAAAGTCTTTTAAGAGATACCTCTCTACATACCTCAAAACAGAATGCACGTGTCATGGTTGATTATATATTTCCTGCCTGTTCTATGTAAAATTTTGTATATATTGTTTATTAATATTGTTTTTGTATTTTGTTGTACCTAATGTAACAATGCAATGATTTGTGGACCCAGGACATACTTGAAAACGAGAGAAATCTCAATGTATCTTTCCTGGTAAAATATTTTATAAATAA